ACTAATATTTACATAAAACTAGAAAAACATTATGATAATCTTACTGTTATTTAACTCAGATTACTCTGAGAAAACAGTAAACGATGTTATATCTAATCAATTTAACATTTATTTTTCCACAATAGCGTATCGATATTATTGGACTACTAAAACTTGGTAGCTCAATAAATCGATTAAAATTATACATTCTTAAAAACAAACCCAAATGTTTGTAAGCGCATTACTCTCGAACGACTGCATCGAATTGTAAACAGTTCGTTACTTTCAAAATAAGGCTTAAAACAAAAAAAAAATGATTTAAAAATTCTATGAAGATAATAAAAACGCTGTATATATCTGTGTAAAACGCTGACCTTTAAACTAGTAAACGTATTTAAGAGTATGTATGTAAATGTATTTTGACTACTAATACTTATCCAACAAACAAAACTACAATATACCAAACATTTCGCCGATTGTACATACTAGCACACATTAATGTACCCCAACATGCCAAAGTATTTAAAATTATTCTCATTTTACTTGGTATTAGTATTTAAAATTATTCTCATTTTACTTATTTTTCATGGGTTCAAAACCGATAGGAAAAGAATACTTTTCAGGGCATCATTTTGATTCCGATATACCGGATAGAGAAGTAAAACGCGATATTTTTTACAAATTAATGTACAAAGCTTGAAATTTTTTAATGAATTCTTTTTCCTTCCGCCTGACGTCTCTGACGCCTCTGATTCCTTCCGCCCAGGTTGGATCGAGGGGGAGTTTCAGCCTCTTACCGAATAAAAACCACCCCATTTCTTTTTCCTGCTCAATTCCGGAGCCATGGTCCATCGTAGCACTTGTACCGCAACCAATACTTTGACACTTTGTGATACATTGAGGAGCCATCTATCCATAATATTAAAACTTGTCGAAAATAACCTCTCATTTAGCTTTTTTTATTAAATATTTAAATTCATTTTTTTATCAAAATTACGTGCCGATTAGTTTAAAAGGCAGGGCGATTACGAATCCCTGACCTGATTTCACGTTAAAATTTTATTTGACCGATTTGACAATGTTTTAGCGGATTTTCTCTCATGATTAGTAGAAGCTGACAATCAGACCGAATACTTGATGGTAAGCAATCAACGCTAATCGCCATAAACCCTCGAGTAATAGTAGAACTACAAGAGTGTTCTTTCTGAGAGATTCCTGTCACATAGGTTTCCTTAACAAAATGTATTAACCAGGTAACGCAATGTCCATGGGCAACACAGACAATTAACCATCAGGAGATCCGTCTGCCCGTTTGCCTCCTTTTCCATAAAAAATGAATCATGAAAAATCTTTTTAATCCCTTAGATTATAATGGAGATGTGTTTTGAGAAGCAGATGGCTCATTGACAGACACATTTTTAATATTTTTTGTTATGGGAAAATCGTCATATGACTTCTCTCGCCCAGGGTAGGGCGGGAGGGAGTATCACTCGTACTGACTAAAACGCCCCGTTCCTTCTGCTCGGGTCTAGTTCTGGTAGGGCGGCGAGCTAGACACACTTTTATTTGACTTACACATCACGTTTATAACCGACTTTCAATATAGGAAGGTTTCTCTATTTGACCGTTTGGGGGCCAAATTATCCCTAACCATCAGATAAATTTAGTTATATATGTGCCACATATATCGGGAACTTACATAAAGGTCAGAAGCAGGCCCCAATTAAAATATACATACTCTTTATGAACTGATATTTTAAAATCGACTTAAAACATCGTCAAATCAGTCACAGAAGTCAGAAGATCCAAAACAAGACAACCTGTAATGTAATATATAACAATACATAACTAGGATTACACAATTAGGTACTTATATATGTTACATAGAAAAAAAAACAAACCCTATTTACATTATTTTATATAAAAAAATATCCTCGAATGTTTTGTGTGAATTTTAATTTACTTTTTACATGTCTCAACACTTCGAAATTAATGCCCGATTTCTGAAAGCGCGATCAATGTTAAAATCAACTAACTAGGTGTCAAATCTCTTGTCAAGTCATCTGATTGGTTGTTGATAATTCAGTCAACTAATCAGATGACTTGACAAGAAATTAAATTGATTTTAATATTGATCGGCTTTCGGAAACCGGGTGTAAGACAAGATTATGTAAGTGTTAGAGAAACAAACGAACAGAAGGAAAACCTGATGGTAAGCAATCTTCACCTCTCGTGGACATTAAACTATTTTCTATTGCTAGAATACTAACAAAAAATCTCAAAAAAAAAACTATACCTATGTGTAGGGGAACCATGCTTTGACACGAATGGCTTCAAGAACACTGGATTGAAACAACCACAGCGTTGTGTTGCGCTTTGAGTGACTTTTCGAAAGGCCTTAACAAAATCCTCAAATCCCTAATATCTAAAAAGCTGATAACTCGGTGTCCATGGTCGGCGCAGATTACTTACCACCAGGTAATCCTTCTGTTGTTTTGCCGTCCTGCTACAACATTATAAACATCCATTAAATGTATTTCCCACAAAACACACAAGAACCACACAACTATAGTTCGACGTATAATTATAAAAAAAAACAACTATAATGTATACAATACATTGGGTTTTAATAAAATAAAAATAATCAAAAAAACATAAATGCAAAATGCAATGGCGTTTCAAATTTCATAATTTCATTGTTATTTGTAAACTTTTCAATATTGATTTAACACATAAAAATATATGATTTAGGGCTGATTTTTCAATAGTCAGATAAATGTTATCTGAGGCATAAAGTTGTTACTGTCACTGTCTTATACAAACATTCTGACGCGACAGCATCATAATTATTCCCCAGATAACTTTTGTGTAACCATTGAAAAATCAGCTCTTAGATGATTAATTTATCTTGTAGATAAATATAATTTGATTTCATAATAAAAAACTTAATAATTTCTTTCGAAAAACCTGCGCCGGCGCATCTTTTAAGTTGACAATTTTTATAATATAAAATTATATATTAAATCAATATTAAATAATTACACTTATGAATAGGACATTCTATAATATAACAAAACCTTGTTTTCTTACAGTTTATTGTACATATAAGTATGTATAAAAATGGGTACATTTAGTCAAATTTGTTACTTGACATCTAGTCAATTTAATAACTTTTTCGAAATGTCATTTTTATTAATCCTGTCCGAGATTATGTCACACGTATTTTGAGTAAAATTGTATTTTATATCACTCGAAAACTAGGTTTACGCGACTATATTCAGGGCGGTCACAAAGTACGCGTGTATTTTTTTTTTTTGCAGTGAAAAGCAACCTTTTTTTAAAATGTCAAGTACCCAGTTCTGTTTGCATAGTAACAATAGATTAATAAAACAATATTATTATGTATATTTTACTGCTTATTATCAAAAATTGCTTGTTTTATTACTGTTGTATTCATAGACTTTATTATCGAAGCTTTAAGGTGTATAATGCGCTGTTTTATTCGTTAGATCGCCTTTAAGAGTCATTTTGTAAGCAAAAAGTAATTTTATTATTCTCATTTTGTGTGTGATATTTAAAAGGCTTGATACGTGACTTTTTCGGAGTTACGTGTGCTTTCTCAGTTTAACACTACTACATACATACGGTGAAGGAAAATAGCGTGAAGAAAAATGGGCTTATAATTTCTTATTATAAGTTTGAAATTGACGGCTTTGTGATTATCACTTAGAAAGTTTTCTTCTTCTCCAGGTGAGAAGAGGCTTTCGCTCAGAAGTGGGCACTTATTTCCTGATGATGTGTGTGGTACAAATCTTCTTAAGCGACGAAAGTGTTTATTGCCATAAAACAAATCCTGTGACATTTAATGTTCAGTAATTAACTAACATTTGTACAACGCCTGTACAACAAGACTTAAAAAAAATCAAATTGCAAAAATATGATCATAATATACTCAAACTATACTTTTTTGCTTACAAAACCACTTTATAACAACAATCCCAAGAAAAAAATAACAAAATGACTTCAAAACCATCATCTATAAATCGTTAATTAAACCTAACAGTCGAATCGTGCAAGCAAAAATAGACTTTATCGGTCTGGATACTAATTTCGTGCTCATACAAAAATATTACATATGTATCACTATATCGCATGTTAAATAGAAAAAAGGACTAAATCAAAAATGAAGATATTCCAAAATTGAACCTTATAGCATAATTTTTAAGATTGAAATACCTTATTTTTTGAGTTAGGCCTCTTTTCTATTTAGCAAACGTAGTGACCAACTATTTTAAACCTATCCATCTGTTAATTTGCTTCTAGTCTCTTTCTCGGCACTAAACGATGGCCAGATTTAAACGTGAAGAATAGTAGTAATAGTTCAGTGGAAAATAAGTTTTCTAAATAAGTATTATTATCTCGCCTAATCGCAAGATCCACCTTTTCCGATCTTAGGAACTTGGCTCATTCCCCTCAAAAGACACCACTGACATACGGTGAAGGAAAACATCGTGAGGAAACCTGGACATTAATTTCCGATTATAAGTTTGAAATCCCCAATTCGCCATGAGTAAGCGCGGTGATTGATGCTCAATATAATGTCATAAGACACTGTAACGACCGCTTTAAAAAAAATATACCCTATATTTGATTCAAGTTATTATGACGTCACAGCACAGTAGTAATCTCATATAAAATTCATGAGAACAGCTCGACTAGTTTCAAGTCACATCGGGACTCTTATTCATGAGCAGTCGCGGCGACGTCCCGCAGTCGACTGTGTTAAACTAGTAGAGCTTTTCTCAGTTAATACACGTGACTAAGGCCTCATTTTTCAATAGCTAGATATTTTTTATCTGAGGAATGAAATTGTTGCTGTCACTGTCTTATACAAACATTCTGACGCGACAGCGTCATAATTATTCCGCAGATAACTTTTCTGTAACCATTGAAAAATCAGCTCTTAGTCGTTATTTGGAATAAATGTAGTATGTGTCATATAGTAACTATTCAAAAACATGTATGTAAATGAAAAATTATTGAATTATGATGACTAGTTAAAAAATATCTTCGAAGCAAATCTAACAGATGGATAGGTTATTTACAACTCTGCCTATAAAATGTTAAAATTTAGTGAAAAATCTACTTTTAATAACAAAATCTATGAAGGACGTGGGGTCTCTAAATAACCTACGACTCAAAAAACATTACCCTCCTTTAGAAACAGTCGGGTAAATACGAGGTATTCATTGTTTTGAGCTAACACTGTACAATAAGTGAGTGAGTATGACTTTTATTCTTGTTCTTTTAATTGTTTTTTGTTGAAGATAACCTGGAAATAAAGATTTAAGCTGTTTAGACCTTATGCTAAAGTGTTTAAGGTTGAATTTTATGCATGCAAAAGTAGATTTGTTATTTCTTTATGTTCAGGATTATGTTTACTTGACTTTATGAGAAGGGTATATTTCGTCACAACATTGCAAAATGACCAGTGGTAATGCCTTAAGATCGTTTACTCATCTTGGATTTTCAGACAAAACATTCAAGTCTAAAACCCTGAAAACCGCTGAACCGATTGTGATGCAACTTGCATGCTATAGATAATATTAAGTTCATTATCGCAATATTATTTTTAAGCGAGCAGTACCACGTGATTTTATTTTATTATATTGCCTCACTGTCTCTGTTGTAATCAATAATCAATCACTAATTAGCATGGCTAATTAGTACATCAATAGTACTTCCGTCACTGTCTGTTATAAATATCATGGTCCCATTGACAATGTAGCACTGGTGCAGTGAACAGACTTTGTACTGTAAAATTAAACTCAGGTAACTAAGATCCAAGTCTTTTAATAATATTAATCTCTTCAGCTTTTTTAATATGAATGTATCTAAAAAGTGGTTGGACCAATGATAATTTATACTAATATATAAAGAGTAAAATTTGTAAGTTTGTATGTAGGGGGTTATCTTTGGAACCGCTGTTCGGATTGCCAAAATTCTTTCACTGATAGATAGCTACAATGTCCCTGAGTGCTATAGGCTCGCTAAAACATCAAGCAACGATCAAATGGAGCTGAGCAGCGGGTGAAACCGCGCGAGTGTAGCTAGTATTCTATAAATATTGGCTGTTGGCATGCGCTGTTGTGTTGGGTTGGAATTCCTGTAATGATGGTTGTATGTTCTGTTATTAAATAAATAAATAAAATGTTTTATTTAGTCCTTGATTAACTGTCCTGTTGCCTCAACCTCGTAAACCCTTTTAAAGCATTAAGCTGACAATTATGCGTTGTAGCGACTAAGATTGTAATATTTTTTCTAATCTCTTAAAGTTTTCTATATTTCTTTCTATAATACATACCGTGTAGCTTATGACATGGAGGAGCAGGGCAGGCGAGGGGATCCCATCTGCGTGAGGACCCGGTCCAGCCACTGCAGGGGACCGTTCAGGTGTAGCTCGATCCAACATGGCGTTGATGTTACTGTTTGACGTCTGATGACAATGTTACATATAATATTGTTATATATGTAATATTTATACTTGATAATGATGATGGTTGCTATACCAAGCTTTTTTATTTCGTAATGCGGGAAAAGGAGCACACGTATTACCTGATAGTAAGCAACCGGCGCGGAGTGCGTTGTCGGACTTTGGAAAATAGGGGTTTCGGATATTTAAGGATTAGGCCAGGGGGAGGAATTGGGCCCCCGGTAACCTCACTCAGACGGCAAAACACAACGCTGTGGTTCAATAATACACAATTAGATACAATACCTGTACTCGGCGCCCCATCCTTTGACGAAGCTCATACGTATGGTGCACATGCGAGTGAGCTGGAACACTGCCTCGAACCCTTGTGACACCGACTGGGACAGCAACGCCGCGAACTCTTGGTTGTTGAAGATTTTTAAGTTGCAGCCTGTTCAACAGAAATGATACATGATTATAATATCCTACTAAGCGAGGGCGGGCAAGTCCTAGGCCTATTTGACGTGCGCCCGAGACGGGTCTTCAGGTCTTGGCTGTTAGGGAGAGAAAATGGTTTTGTACTGTAAAGCCGATTTCTTAATACAGGGTGTCTGGTAAAGAATGGATAACCTTGAAGTGCCTTTAAGTAAGTGAGTTTATGACCAATGAAAAAACTTCCAAAAAAAGTTTTTAGCTTGCAAATTAATTTATTTTAGACAAATTGTGCATAATTTATTTTTACATAAATGATTAATCATCATTGTTATGCAAAAATGTAATGTACGTGAATCTTAAAGGATCATTTTCTATTTCCTCAGGCACCAGTTCTTCTACTTCAAGACATCATAACTTGGGTACTACTTACGATATTTTTCTTTTTTTGTTTATGAATGGCCATAAGATATAGTAAAAGGCATTTCAAGGTTATCCATTCTTAACCGGACACCCTGTATATATGAGAAAATCATCAAACCACTTATCCCGCCCTGGATGTAGCGAAAGGGAGTATAGGACTTTAACACATTCAGTGCCCCCGACGCGTATGTGCGTGCGAGGAAACGCACATACGCGTCGGGGGCACTGAATGTGTTAACCGACTAAGAAACACCCTGTTCCTTCTACTGTTTCGGGCTGGGGCCGCACTATATTATTGCGTCTGACCCGTAACCACGGCATTTTTATTTTTTGAGGGCGGCAAAATATGTAACGACTTATCCCGCCCTGGGTGGGACGAAAAGAAGTTTCATAGTCTTATTGACTAAAAACTACCCCGTTCCTGCTCTAGACCGAACCTGCGGTAAATTATTACAATGCATTATTCCTCTTACAGATACACAAATGGAAATGTGACAAGGTTTTCTGGTTGTATGTGCGACGATGTCTGTAGTATTGTATAAAAGCTTATTATAATATATAGTTACCAGGCGGTATTTTGCAGACGGTCGCCGGATGCCATCCGTAGCGCTGGTTGCAGTTCGGACTCTGCACGAATATCGACGAGTCACTCAGACATTCTGCGAACACTTCGCCTAGAAAAAAGGAAAGATTTTTTTTATAGCAAATCACTTGATGGTTAGCGATCAGCGCCGCAACACCACGTTGCGATTATTGCTTTTTAATGATTAGGAAATTAAATAATGAGGTCAAAGTTTTTGACTGCACGGTTGGAGCGGTGGCTGGGCAACTGGCTGCCGCGCAACGTGTCGCGGGTTCGATTCCCGCACGGAACAACTCTTTTTGTGATCCACAGATTGTTGTCCCGGGTCTGGGTGTGATGTGCATGTGAAATTGTATAAAATCCAATTGTGGGGCAAAGTTTTCTTAAAAAAAAAGGTCTAAGTCAAAATCATTTATTCCAACTAAACCATAAATAGGTACTTTTGAAACGTCAAAATAGAAAAGTAGTCTGTCAGTCTGTTCGTCAGTGAAGCTAGGTGCTCGTTCCAAATTGTAGATTCGAATGGAGAAGAACGAACAAGAAACTCCACCGTTGCTCTTTTAGAAAAATGATATTTCTTTTACAATTTCACTAATACTGAGAATTTGGGAATGGGCTTCCAGTAACTTCACTCACGGCGAAACACAACGCTGTGATTGTTTCACGCCGTTTTTATGTGTGGTCGAGGTATAACTCCTGTCTAGCAGACTCGTTCGTTTCAAAGCTTGAATCTTGACCGGATGTTGCATGGACTGCCTTTTAAAGATTAGGAATTTGCAATATGAGACATTTGAGATCGGTCATGTGTTAATATAACTTCACTCACGGCGAAACACAACGCAACAATGTGTTATACACTCACATCGTATATCACACGCCGGTTTTATATCGTGGTATCGGTCGAGCCAGTCCAAAATTGCCGGACCATGGAATTTTAAAGTAAATTTTTGCTAAGCTTCTAATTCAGATTATGTTAGACATACCCAAATAAATTGAAACTATCTAATAATTGAAAATTTATTAAAAATAACGACAAATTTACATTAATTAACTGAGAAAAGCTGTACTAAAATTTGATCAAATAATTTATTTAACACTTTTCTTACAAGGGCAGACCTAATACCAAAAAAGAACAAAGAAGGAAAGGAAAAGCCAGGCATTGACTAGCAGTCAGGTTTGCCTTTGCCATTAGGATTCTTAATACAGAATTTCTTTAACGTCATCTATTTTAATTCGATCATGAGTGATGATATTGTTTATCCATTTTTGTTACTTACCTCCAATATAATAGAGTCGGACGCCTTTGCCGATGTGTCGACGAGTCTGTTCCACTACCTCATTCCTGTTCACGTTGGACAGGAGACCCAGGCAAAACCTGCGGACAAAATGATATTTTTGTAATGAGTTTTACACAACCACAGTTGTCGGTGAAACAATTACAACGACCCAATCCTTCACTTCATTCATACCTGCCTAATCCTTGAATCCCCAAAACCCCTTAACTCCATAATGACGACAACGCAACTCCTCTGGTATCCATGAGCGACTTCATAACTCCAACTTGGCACATACCATAAGGTTGCGCGCGACACACGCACAGATAGTTATTTTTTTGAGGGGGTAGTGGGTTTTCCCCTTTCACCTCTACCAGGGTGCGGTCAGACTTACTAACTAAACTCCACCCCATTCCGTCTCTGGTTTAGAACTGTAGAGAAGGAGCCAGCCGGCCTCGCCTGGTCGGAGGATTCTTTTTCTTTCTTTTCCGTACTTAGGGCAATTTATTCTATTCCCTAAAGACTTCTAATCAAAGTTCAGACAACAGCGCTCTCTGAAAAACCTGATCCTTTTAAACTGCGAATTTAATTTTATAACCCGCCAGCTAGCATAGAGATTATATATAGCAAATCCCTCTTCGATCCTTTCTTCAATTTTGTTAGGATTTTCTCAAGTGTCATGGGTGCACATGGGTTTACAAACATACAACTTCACATACAAATCACACTCAGACCCGGAACAACAATTTTGTAGATCACACAGAGTTGTTCCGTGCGGTAATCGAACCCGCGACACGGCCCAGCCACCACGCCAACCGCGCAAAGTTAATTTAGTTTAGTAGTCATCAATTTAGTATATACCTTTCACTGTTGCTTGGATCAGTAAAGCCATCGACGGTGATGGAAGGCTGTGACGCATGGAAGGTCTCCCCAACCCTCGTGTTCAGCTCGTAATAACTAATGCTGCACCAAAAAGCTGGTTCATGGTACAGCACCGGGGCCGCTTCAGTCGTCAGACCTGGGGGCGACGGGGTCAGGCGGGTTAGATCTGAAACAATGGTCTAGATTAAGGGCTAAAAGACATGAGGGTCTTCTGATAATACCAGTTCAAGTTTTTAAGTATACTGCCCAGTCTTTCTCTAAGAATATAAATATTGTAATGCATCTCTGAGAATATCTCTAGGAACCTACTGATACCAGTATTTATTATGAAAATTTCGAAAAAAGTTAAAATCTAGTTACATATATGTTGTCAAACTAAAAAACCAAATTCCTGTATAGTGGAAAATTCTCTCTTTGTACCAATGTGACTTTTGCTGTGTTGTATGTACTTTATAAGATTCTTAAGATGTTACTCACATATGGTGAAGGGGAACATTGTGAGGAAACCTCGACTTAAAGTTTCTCATTATAAGTTTGAAATCGTCAATCCGCCTTGAGAAAGGGTGGTGATAAATGCTCAAACCTCGTCCGTGTGAGAAAAGGCCTTTGCTTAGCAGTGGCCACTTATAGGCTGATGATGTAGAAACCATATACAGGTACTTTTGAAACATCGAAAATAAAATAGTAATCCGTCAGTATGCTTCTGAGTAAAGCTAGATGCGGTATAAATATACCTTAGTACTATAATAAAATTAAAAAAGGTGAGAAAATTGTCAACAAACTCACTCATATTATCGTTATGGTCCATTGGGTCGCCGTCCTCACTGATGTACCCTGGGGGCGGCGTCTCGACCGTTGACGAGCTCCTAGAGGCAAAATAACAAGTCAATTATTAAGTAGAAAGTCGGGGTTGCGGGGTAAGCGCAATGAGGCACCACGACCTCGGCCCAGAGCAGGAGAAGAAACAGGGGGGTTTTTAGTCATTAAGAGTCTGACACTACCTCCCGCCCGGCCCTGGGCGGGAGAAGTCATTGGATGATTTTCCACTGACAAAAAAAAGTAGAACACCTGTCTGGACTTCGATCTACCTTTTACGATTTACCTGGCTATAAATATAACAGGTATAATGACAATTTTTTAATGTAGGTCTACATCTATTAATTAAAACATTGGATACATATTTTTTCCCTTTTTATTTGATAATTGGCCAAACGAGCAAACGGATTACCTGATGGTAAGCAATCGGGCAGCGCTGTCAATGTACACTCGTAACACTAAAGTTATAGTGCGTTTACTTTGTAGATTTTGGGATTAGGGATGAATTTGGAGGGGAAGGATTGAACCTCCGGTAACCTCGCACAGCGAAACCACGCTGAGCTTGTTTCACATCGGTTTTCTGTGAGGCCAATGGTTCTCCCACCATTTCTCACGGAATCAAAACCTTTCACGATATCATCATCATCATCAGCCCATTTCCGTCTGGGCATAGGCCTCTTCAATTATAGGCCACTGAACTCGAGATTCAGCACTTCTCATCCAACCAATGCTGCAGGTGTCCATGGGCGGCTCCAATTGCTTAACATCAGGTAATCCGTATGTTTGATTGCCAATGTATCACATAAATTTTCAGTATCTACCATATATTTTTTTTATTTGAGGTTTTTCTTCCATAGTAATTAAAACGCCTTGTCAGTAGAACCTTCCGAAATGTTTACTGCATAAGTTCTGCCAAAAGGGAATATTGGACAAATAAACAATTTTTAAGGCTGGCAATACTCACACATGCACGGTGGTGTTGCCAGGCACCTGCTGGGCGAGCGTGGCCTCCAGGTACATGGCACTGTGCGCGCCCACGCCCACTCCTACACCTACCACGCCCCCTGTCTGCATTACCCTGGAAACAATTCATTTGTATTAATAACATGAAATAGACCACACTGTGATCACACTTGCTCAATGTGCCAACCCGCATTGAGCAAGTGTGGTGATTAATGCTCAAATCTTCTCCGTGTGAGAAGAGGCCTTTGCTCAGTAGTGGCCACTTATGGGCTGATGATGAGATCACACTGTTATGAGACTGAGTTAGTAATTGTCCACTAGCGTCGAACACCATTGTCCGACATGGCGTTCTAAGCCTTAATGACTTTCTGAATAAGATTAAATTTCCCGTCTCGGCTGTAGATAGGCTTCTTCCAAGGCCTATGATCAGGAGTGGATGTCTTAACTTGTAATAATTCTTTAACTGTGTCGTGTCATCCATTGAAAAGTCGGAGATATCTCGGACTGAACTCGAGCGTGCATTTTGTAATTCAGACATTTTGCTATCTATCCATTCAGAGGTCTCTGGTCAAGATCGGACAAGACAAGGTTGCGCACACACACAGTCACAATTTGACAGCTGCACATGGATTTGAAGCTTTTATCACTGAATATAAGGTTTTTAACTTTCACTACTAATATTATAAAGACGTAAAATTTGTAAGTTTGTATGTAATAAGTAATCATTGGAACCGCTGGTCGGATTTCTAAATTCTTTACTGATAGCTATAGATACAATGTTCCTAAGTAGTATAGGGTATAAATAACACTTTAGCCGAGCTACTGCTTAAAACGCTACCGCTTTTTGCGCGGGTGAAGCCACAGCTGAAAGCTAGTTTGAAGCTAGTCTTGTGGACTGTGGGAAGTGAAGTGTGAAGTGTGGGAGAGCCATGCTTCGGCACGAATGGGTCGGCTCGACCGGAGTGATACCAATCCCTCCTCAATCCCTAAATCTCCAAATCCCTAATCCGTAAAAGGTCGGCAACGCACTCGTAACTCCTCCGTTGCGGGTGTCCATGGGCGGCGCTGATTGCTTACCATCAGGTAATCCGTCTGCTCGTTTGCCGACCAATTACATAAAAAAATATATATATAATATAATAATTCTAATGTACATGTGTATGTCATTGAACTCCTTTTAAATGGCTTGACCGATTTAAATTAATTTTTCTGTATGCGTTTGAGTGGGGCTCTGGATGGTTTAGATTCACAAATCAGCCCGGCAGATGGCGCTGATTGCTTGAAAATACATGTGATCTCGGAATCGGCCTCAACGATTTCGCTGTTTTATATGTGGGGGTTAATGGGGACCGTTTTTGGGGTCCGTTAGTGATATATAAAAATAAATATGATGATGTTGATGACGATGACATGACCGTATACTCACGCGTCCGTATGGTCGAGGTGGTGGTGGTCGTGGTGCGGTGGGTGCTGGTGGTAGTCCGTGTAGGGGGGCGGCGCCCGGACCTCTGTGTCGCCGCAACGAGGCACCAAAATGGGGGGCAGCGCTGGGAGACACACATAGTACGTAATCACTACATAGTATAAAACAAAGTCGCTTTCTCTGTCCCTATATCCCTATGTTTGCTTGAATCTTTAAAACGACGCAACGGATTTTAATGCGATGTTTTTAATACATAGAGTGATACTCCTTCTACCCCAGTAAGAAACAAGTTTGAGAATATAAAGAAGCAGAAGCCTGAGTGTGATACATGCGTCGTCGGCACGAATGAATCTGCTAAACCGGAGTGATACCATGGCCTCACAGAAATCAAGCGTGAAACAACCACACAGCGTTGTATTTCGCCGTGTGTCTGAGGTTACCGGATGCCCAATTCTTACCCTCTCTTAAATCCCTTAATCTCCAAGACTCGCAACGCACTTGTGGCTCCTCCTGTGTTGTGTACGTACATGGGTGGCGTCAATGCCTTACCATCAGGTACAGTACGGCCGCCGTATCTTGGCGAGTCTGAAGTCAGCCGTTTGTCTGCGCAATGGACCTTTTAGGAACAAAAATGTGTACTGCACAGCTAATCGGCTAACTTTAAACTCGCCAAGATACGTTGGCGGTATTGTAATTCCGTGTGCTCATTTGCCGTCCTATCACGTAAAAGGTTTAAAAAATGCTTACCAGGCGAATCGATTTTATTGTAGTGATAAGGGTTGATGCACACTTCGTCCTTCTTCAACTGGTAGGCGTACTCGCAATGGTCAACTGGCTTTAGTTCATGCTGGCTCTGTAACAAGTCAACATATAATTGATACACCATCACAATATCTGAATTGCCAGTATGGTCCAGACATTTGGTGGTTTTACCTGGAAACCTGTTTATATAATTCCATCATAACAGTGGTGAAAGGGAAAATTATTCTAATTAGCACTTCGCTTCACTGACGAACAGATTGATGACCTAATTCTATTTGATGTCTCAAATTTTTTTGAACTTTAAACTTTTGCGCATATGCAAATTGCCAAATTTTTATTACACCCTTTTTTGTTAGGGGAAAATCATCAAATGACCTCTATATCAGAGTGTCAGACTCTTACTGACTAAAAACCCCCCGGTTGGTTCTCCTGCTCTGGGCCGAGGAAGCGGTGACTCATTGCGCTTAACCCGCAACCAAATAGCATTTTTGGTAAGTTATTCCTGTTCTTTGGACCAACTGACTAAACCATTACCAAGTAGAATTTAAAACAATGTCTCAAACATGTGCTACATACATTTGTAAGGAGTTACATGAAGGCAATGAAAATAGGGAACAATATAGATAAACATTATAAGTACCTGTAGCTGCGGCCAACGCCACAGCCTGCAGTAGACAACATGCGGCAACCCCTTACGATATTGACCATTTATTGTGTTCTCGTTTGGTTTAGCCCTGTGAAAGATATATAGAATTATTATTCTTTTATTCCAAAATAAGTTTTACTGAAATTTCAGTTTGGGAAAGCCATGCTTCACCACTAATCAATTGGCTCAACCGCAATGACAACCACTGCCTCACTGAAAACCGGTGTGAAACAACCACAGCGGTGTATTTCGCTATGTGAGTGAGGTTACAGGACATCCAATCCATCCCCTCCCTCAACTATCCCTTAACCGCTAGTCTGCCGGTATATGAGACACAATAGAAAAAACATTGTGTCTCGCGTATATCTGCGCTCCACGGGTTAATCGCTAAAGCCCATCAGCGCCAAAAAGTTTATTACACACATGATCTTGTTTATGATAATTGTTTTCTCTTTCTCTAATTTTTTTTTTTTTTGTAAATATGAAAGTAAATTACCAACATCTATAACAATATTCTATTGCATAGATTAGTGCTTGACAACTAGGCAAAATCAATACCTTTTTTTCAAATACATAGTCAAAATCAACATGTTTACTATGAATTTTGTATGCAGTTGAGTGTGGTTTATTATTTCATCTAATAGTTTACATTATTATTTCTCCAAAAATATCTAGAGAAATTAAGATAGTTAATTATATTGTAAGATAAAATAGAATATTAATACCTACCTATTTTGAAATATTTTGTTACATAGAAAAGTCAGGATAAAGTCAAGTAATCAATAAAATTATTACAACAATGGCTTTAGAATAATTAATAAAAAAGAAGTTTTTTTAACACCCATAATATATTATTTGGAATTAATTACAGTAAAACCAATAAGACTGTATGGAAAGCCAAGATAAAAAAACTTAGGTTTTTGTCTGAACATTACAATGATACCTAGTTTCACATATTATGTTCAAGATATCTTTTAGAGTACCTTTTTATCAATCAAATGTATCTTTTTAGTGACCAAAAAGGTCGTGAGAAATATTTCATATAAAAAGGACCATAGAAAAATAAATTATCAAGATATAAAATTTAGTTAAATCATATCCATACTTTTTTCTTTTTGTTACATTATAATGCCTAACCACATTATGAGTTGGCCTAACCAAAATGTGTACAGCAATAATAAAAAATAAATGCATTTATGTAATTGTTTATGACATCAATTACACACTTCAGTTTATAAATTATCAAAAAATAATTTTAAACGTATATTTAATGATTTGGCGGCAAAATGCACCCGAGTACATGTGTCATCAGTCGTCACACATTGTCTAAATAGCCTCTAGCACTTAGGAAACCTAGATTTGGTTACTAAAATCCAATAAGAATCTTATTAGTATTAGACTGAATAATTTAAACACTTTTTGGCATTCAAAGTCGTAATTAATACGTATCTTCAACAAATAAACACACGGATGCGCATATTTATATCAGGAAATCGTAATTAAAGCATAAATTACGAATGTTTAGAACTCATACAATTTGCACAAAACGGAACCATTTGTGACGTATTTACCTTCAAGGACGAAAGGATAGATGGATGTCCTTCGAAATGGGCTCCGAAAACAAAGAAAATAGGTACACGCACGTTTTCTTTCTAAAAGATGGAGAATATTAGTATTTTCAAAAATAGCAAGGTTCAAAACACGTCCGCCATATTGACAAGGATCGGAATGATTCGATTTGTTTTGACGGTGTCTTGACCTTTCCGATTTTGCGTCCTGTATGTTATTATGCAACAAAAATGAGATGGTCGTTGCCTCGTATGGAGGTCGTTTCTAATAATCAACCACTAAACTTAGTCGGGTAATAGGACCTACCGAAATAACCCGACCACGGAATAAATGTTCGTTCGTAAACTGATAGGTATCGTTTAGCAAATTTGTGCTAAAAGAATTGAAACGACGGCCAATAAGTTTCTTATTTGAAAAATTAATATGAAATACTGGATACAAGCAGTAGCAATTTCCTTGGATAAGCTCAACAATTTTTGCAACATCTTTAGCATACGATTATAGCTTTTATTACAAAGCACATAAGGAATATTCACATTGTTAAAGATATGATAGCTTAGGTACCGGAAACGTCATATTCCCCAATGATTGTTATCACGAAAAAAATAAATCAATATTGAACTGACCTGGGTATTGTAACGCATTTGGTATGACTGTTTTGACTTGAAATAGCTTTTTCCAATTCTTCAAGAGCCCCGCTTTTCTTTAGTTTCTTTACTAAACTTTTCACTGCCTTCTCCGACCATTTATCTTCAGCTGCAGACGAACCCTCAGGGCCCTTTTTCCATCCTAGCAGCCGTTTTACAACGGGCGGAGTAAGGGGAAACATGCCGTGACACTTCACTCACTAAGTCATTAAATTAAGCAAACTATCATTTGAATAGCAAATTATATATTCGCGCACAATTTATATGTTCCGTATTTAGATAAACTATCGGCCATATTGCGACTGAATGACATTTCATTTGTCATTTGTCTTGTCAATCAACAAATCAAGATGACTCTGTCTCTTTCACAACTAGATTTTGTTTGAGTTTGTAATATTTGATGACCTTTTTAATGTAACTTGCAAAAATATATTCGATCCGTCCATATTCTAATAATACATTAGATAACTTTAAAATAGTAGTGTTCACATATTATAGCTTTTTCCCATTTTTGATATTAGGAAAATAAAATTATATCTGTCCCTTTCTTGCCAATTATTTTTCCCGCAAAACAAAGGCATTTGGCCGTCAGCAAAAATAATCAGTCCAATCTATTACATGTTAGCATTAAATCTCATTTACTATTTAAATTAATTTTAATAATACGTTTTCAAATAAGAATATTGTTTATTTGAGGCGTTAGATACTAATTAGGTCCATTTTTATTTTTCGCATTTTTATAATGTTGTCTGCAAAAATTGGAAAACTGTTCGTTAATGCGTAATCAAATAAAACTTTTCTTATATCTCCGAAATGTATTAAATTATGAAAAACATCAATAAATGCCTCTTGTAAACACTTTATCAATTTAATTATAATTAATTAGAATAATAATGAAATAATATTACTTTATACTACATTGACGTTTTATCAGATACTAGATTAATGGGCAATGTAAAACGAATTAGGATTTCTTAAAAAAAAGTACAGTTCTTGTCTGTGGGTTTGACTTTAGAATGTTTTTGTTTTGAAATTTGACACAAATGGCGATAAAATTATTGTTTCATTTGTTATTTTTCTAAAGAAGTGCCAGTTGTTTGGAGAAATTGAAGATATTTTTCTTTAAAATTGAAGAACAGGTAAGGCACTTTTTGTTTGTTGTGTTATAATATAATTTTGTAGCGTTTTTATGCTTTAAATGGACAAAAAAGTGTGCCGGTATTGTGTTGTCACTGGCCGTTTCTATTTATTTTATTTGGTGGCCAGTGTCACTTTTCTTTTCATACTCCCGCTTTAGTTTTCAATGCCTAGGCTGGAAATTATTGTTTAGAATAAAGATAAATAAATCAACTACTTTACTAAAACTTTTAATTTCAAAATAAAAAGAAATAAATTAACTTTCAGTTAAATGTCGTGATTTTTTCAAAATTTTTAATAAAATGGTCAACACAATTTTATCTTTTATTTATTCCTCTAATTAATTGAAATACATTTGAGATAACAAAATTTTTTCCATACCTACTGCTCTGTTTTATTTCATGATGAATGAAATCTTCTACTTAATCAATTTTTCACTAGGAACCATGACTTTTTCCAGTAAAATTCAAAATTTTAATTATTTTCTGTGCATATTTAGTTCAGAATATTTTAAAGTAGTCCACTTAATTTGGCTACTTTACAACTTTTTGCTTCTTTTTCTTGACTATCTTTATTACATTACAGCAGTATCTATAAAATAATATATTTATTGAAAATAAAGGCTTTACTTATTTGAATTAAATCTAAACAAATCTACTATTTCTCTCATTTCTTTCTGCTTGAGAATAGAGTCCTATTGTGACTTAAAAATTGAGAAATCTAGTAGAGCTTCTCTTACATTACATTAATAAGGCAACAGTCTTTCTCCCATGCTACTGTAGTACTTATTTATAATTGAATAGCTGACCCAGTGAACTCCTTGTTGCTCAAAAATTTAAAAGTTTGGCAGTGAAATAGTTACCTACAATATTGTTCCTTGTGCCAAATGTCTTCTTCTATCAATAGTTTTGTTCCTTGTTATCAAACAAACTCTTTTAGAACAGTTTATATGGGAATAAAAAAGTATGTTTTTACTAAATTTATTGAAGTGAATAAGGTAAAGTAGTCTGTGATATTCTAGACCTGAGGGTTCCAAACTTATGGTTTTGGTCAACTGCCTACTTAAAAAGAAAAATAAATAATATGGTAGGTAGTATTGTATCTACCAGGAGTGGGAATAGGGTAGTTACCAGTCAGTTAGGGGGTGTAGTAAGGAAAAAACTTTGTTTTTCTTCACCTAAGGTGGAGGAAGGTATTTGATGACTTTATCTCCTAAAAAGGTATGTTATGATATCGCAAATAGTCTTAAGAACACTCTTTTTTTGTATCTATTACCCCTGAGGACTTAATCGTCCACAAAGAATTGTATCCACCGTCTTTTGAAAAGTTGTTGTACTGTTCTATACTATTTTATCTTGATGTCAATTTGAGTAGTACCGTAAGTTTGGGTTACTTTGACCTTTTTTTTTTTTTTTTTTTTTTTTGTGTGAGGGGAAAATCATCAAATGACTTCTCCCGCCCAGGGCCGGGCAGGAGGGAGTGTCAGACTCTTACTGACTAAAAACCCCCCTGTTCCTTCTCCTGCTCTGTGCCGAGGTCGCGGTACCTTATTGCGCTTACCCCGCAGCCCCGGCTGAACATCAGCCCTTTAGGGCCCCGTCTGTGGTGGTCTATTGGCTCTTTGAGGCGCGCGCGGAACGCTACGCGCCGTACGCTCGGGCCTGGTTCTGGTCGGGCGGCGAGCTGCCCTTACTCGCCGACCGCAGGCCCGTACTTACGGTGGCCGGAGATCGTCCCTCGATCCCCGACGCCCGTAGTGTCGCCAGTTGCGGCTGCTGGGGCGTGAGGAGGAGGATTGCTCCCTCACGCGGGCCGCCTCTCTCTTTGCGAGCATGACCGCTTCACAAAAGGAGGAGACGGCGTCCCAGTTCCTCTCACTCCGCACCATGGCCTCGACTAAGGCCGGGCGCGAGAGGTCGCCGCCGCCGATCACTTCCCTGAGGATACGGCGGTGCTCAGCCCAGGCAGGGCATACCGCTACCGTATGCTCCACCGTATCCTCTAGGTGGTCCTCACAATGACGACACTCGGGCGTTTCCTCCCGCTGAATCCGAAACAGGAACCTACCGAAGCTGCCGTGCCCGGTAAGCACCTGCGTCAGACGGAAGGTGAGGACGCCGTGGCGTCTCTCAAGCCACTCCTCAAAGAGGGGTCTTACCGCTGCTATGGTAGCGTGCCCGGCCCTCGGTTGCGACAGTCGTTGTCTCCACTCTGCCATGAGATCTCGCCGGAGCTCATTCCGCCACGCATTTATTTGGCGCGGCAGAGGATCTTCGCCCCGGCGACGCGCGTCTGCGCGCAAACTGTAGGCTGGTTTTACAGTCACGCCGCTAGACGCGCCGTTGGACAGCGCGCTGTTGGACAGCGCGCGTTTGAACAGCGGTGCACCATAAAACGACATTAGTACGTCGCGTTTCGCTGCTGACAGTCGTGTACAAACAGATACAAAATGAACGGCAATGCGGTTAGAGTACTGGCTATTTACTTTTTATGGAAAAAAAGGCAACAAAAACGTCGAAGAACAGTAGGTGTTGATCCTTATAACGCTACAAGGTTACTGAGAGGCGAACACGTAACATCTTTCTCTGATTTACGAGAAAATAGTTATAAATTTTATAAATATTTTCGCCTATCAACCAGCAGTTTCGACGAATTACTGTGCAAGTTAGAGTTTTCTTTACGAAGATCCAGCATACGTCGCATCCCCATAGCTCCAGTGGAAAAGTTGGCGATTTTTCACCACACAATTCCTTTCCAATTTCTTCCCAGGCTTTATTTTTTGCGTCCTTATTCTTATAAAAATCATCGGCCGGGTCCCATAAACATCTTCTAATTCGCACTTCGTCAATTACTCGACCCGTATCGATGTGATTCATTTTGTACACAACAGTACCTAACGGCACGTCTCAACGGCGTGAGACTAAAACGCACAATGGCCGTAGAAGCGCACGAGCGGCGCGCGCTTCGACCGCGCCGCGCGAATAGGACGCGTTCAACGAACGGCGCTGCTCAAGCGCGCGAATTTGAAACGCTACTAATACCCCAATACATATCCGAGCGCGCGCGCTCCGACGGCGCTGCCGAAACGCGTGACTGTAAAACCAGCCGTAGACGCGCGCGAGCGCCTTCGCTTCTAGATCCCACGGCGGTGATCCGGCAAGGAGGTTCGCCGCCTCCCCGGAGATCGTGCGATACCCGCGGATTACTCGTATAGCCATGACCCTCTGGGACGCGACCAGCGTACGAGCCGGCCGCCGCTTCAAGTCCGGCGCCCACACAGGGGCACCGTAGAGGGCCATGGATCGCACAATCCCCATATACAACCTCCGGCAGGAGGCGTTTGGCCCCCCGAGGTTGGGAAGGAGCCGCTTGAGCGCGGCCCCAGACCGTTCCAACTTAGGGGCCAAACGACGAAAATGCTCCGTGAAGTTCCATCGGCTGTCGAGGACGAGACCAAGGTACTTCATCGCCGACTCGACGCCGATGGTAACTCCTCCTGCCGTTACTTGGGACCCACCTGGAGGTGGCGCGCTCCGACGGCCATAGAAGCACATGGCCTCGGACTTGTGGAGCGCCACCTCGAGTCCCAACTTACTTTGACCCTGGGAGGTAGCTTTGATCCAAATTTTCGAACCAATGAAAAACGAATATATGTTTGGTTCTCAGTTTTTATTGGTTAAAGGGTTTGGATCAAAGTTAAGCCAGGGTCAAAGTCACCCGAACTTACCCGGTATACAAAGAGATATAGGGACAGAGCATAGAGCAACAAAGGCCAATGGCGGGGCAGAGAAAACTAATTTGTTTTATACTATCTAGTGATCCGCACTAGTAGTTCCTGAAATTAGTATATTGAAACAAATATACTTTTTATAGATTTATAATATGATGGCTTAGATGGTTGAATGCTGGAAAATCACTTAAATATTAATTAAGTAGTACTTATTACATTTTATCTTATATAAAAAAAAACACATAAACATTTTCATGTGAAGTTGTGTAATCCATATTTGGTTTGCTTAATAGAAAAGAAGTCTAACTTAAAAGAAGGTTTTTTAATCTTAAAATGTATGTTCCAATAATAAGGTTCATTTTGAAAATCCCTCTTTTACACATGCGATTATTTTGTTACAGGCAAAAATGTCGGACGTCCAACCTCCGTTGATTCTATGCATGGAGAATGCTACGGGCGAGGAGGTGGCTCTTAGAATAGAACCCGATGATAATTTCCAAATGTTTCTCGATAAAGCCAAGTATGAGATATTTACTAAGTTTAAAAACGCTATATAGTATTTATATTGTAAAAGAACCTAGTTTCGAACCACAAGAAGCTCTATTGAAATGGTTTTTGTTTGGTAGGCTGATTTACAACTTGTCTCCAATTTTTTTTAACAGTAGCTATCGTGACACATACAAAATTTTATTGCGGCCCGCCCCCGCTTCGCACGGTTCCAACTATCTCGCTATCAAAGGGTCATTTTCCTAATCGTCCCCTACTTATACTTTTCCAATATTTTCTTGATAAGAACCTTCACCTGACAATAACAAACACAACAAAAAAAGAATTAGCAAAATTGGTCCAGGCGTTGTTGAGTTATGCGCTTACCAACACATTTTGCGATCAATTTTTATATATATATAAAGATAACAACTTACTCACTGTACTGTTGACTGCACGGTTGGCGCAGTGGCTGGGCAACTGGCTGCTGTGCAACGTGTCGCGGGTTCGATTCCCGCAAGGAACAACACTTTGTGTGATCAACAAATTGTTGTTTCGGGTCTGGGTGTGTTGTGTATGTGAATTTGTATGTTTGTAAACGCTCCCACGACACAGGAGAAAATCCTAGTGCGGGGTAAGGTTTAAAAAACAAACTCACGTCAATTAACTGAGAAAAGCTCTTGAGTATAGTTTCAATTGGTTTTGTGTTGTCTGTGCGACACCGCCGCTACGCGCTCGATGGTCTTGAATAAGAGCCCCGTTGTGACTTGAAACTAGTAGAGCTTGTCTGTTAATTCACTCGAGTAAGGCGTTATTTTCAATATGTCAACCTCAAATGTCAGTAGATTATAAAAAAATTAAACACCGGGCCATTAGGCCCTAAGAACCGTACCATTATTAAATATTTCTGCGCCAAAAACCTAATAAGTAGAACCTACTTTTGTTCGACTCGAGATCTTGTGTAGGGACCTTGAAAACCAAAAGTTTTAGTTACCCTTAAATGCAATATATTAAGAAATATCGAAGTACCTGTTTCACTTAAGGTAACCTCAACTGCAGGACGGTTTTCTATGTAGCCGTGGTGTCACTCCGGTTTAGCTGGCCCTCCCACATTTTAATATTACTCAAAATTATTCATTTTATAATTCATTCCAGGGCTCTACTGGGTTTCGACGTGGACTTAAACTCCATAACCAGAAACCAACCCGTATCATTATCAGAAAACGTCTATCAGTTCCTAATAAATGCCGAACAAAACTTGCAAACAGATGATCTCACACAAAACTTTGATCCAATGTTGGAACCAAATGATGGAGCCAACGATTTGGTTTACATATTGGACGATGGCACCCAAATTCGGGCGTCACAAATACATTTCGACAATGATGATCCTTTAATTGATTTGACTGCGGAGAAAATCCCCTTTGTGAAATACGCGGATGATATCACGGATGATATCGACCTTGAAAACCTTCATATACGTGAGACGAAAAAGATAAATATCGTAGACAGTCCGGTTTCCCGTTGGTCTAGTAAAAATTCCAGTCCAAAATGCAGTTTCGCTAACTCATTACCGTTTAAACTCGTTTGCAATAACACATCGGGTTTCGAAGCCCAATTTACGAAATATCTTGAAGCTAATAACTCGAAAACTTACGCCACCCTAAACCCGGTAACTATCCGGAATAAATCGCCAAAGAGTCTGATTAAGGATAATTTTAAGAACTACGATGAAAGTTATCAAAGGAATGATAATCTCTCTTATACAAGGGAAGATATTTTGAATATGTTCAAAGATTCCCCTATGACGTCTCTGCCCTACGACCAAGGGTACGGTGAAAGAAGACACGTCAGAAAGACAGACCCTTCAAGAGTTCATAAAAATTGGACTAAACCTATCTCCTATGTAGATATCGATGGAGTTCTAATAGGTGAAAGCGAGAGTCAAATTTGCTTCATATGCGGCAAACACGTTGATAATAATGTAGATAAGCTCTATCTTTTCGATAATGAGGACCAAAGACTACACAGGTGTTCCCCGCAGAAAAAAATGTCGACACAACTAAAAATTATCTGCGAATGTTGCCTGAATGAGAATTTTAAGCCGTGTAGAATGAAAAGCGCCAATCAATTTCTGAATCCAGACGAGTATTTGGTTATAAGAAATAATCAACAATATATATTTCAAAAGGTTAAAAACTTTAGCTTCGCACATTTAGGTAAAGCTAAGGAGATCATAAACAAGATAGAGTCGAAAATAGACAAGGAAGAGTTCGTTAAAGTCGAAATAGGTTCCGACGGGGAGATTATAACGAAACCCATAGACAACGATCCGAGGTCCGATGACGTCATTATAGTTAAAGATGAGAAGAAAGACGGTAGTTCAAGTGACGTTGAGATTATAGAGCCGGAGCCGGAAATAGATAATATCATAGACAATTTGGAAGAGGCTGATGAAGATGTAAAAGAGTTTTTGGGAAAATATCAGTGTGATAATAATGAAATTACGGAGTTAAAGTGCAGGTAAGCCAAATAACAGATTTTTTGGTAAAGAGGTCAAATGAACTGACAAGATGCCGCTTGATGGTAAGCAATAAGCTCTGGCTATGAATACCCGCAACACCGGAGAAGTTACAAGGGTGTAGTAGTGAAATATCCAATTTTTGCTAGTTATGTTATGAATCTCAACTTCCTTTTGCTCAGTTCCTATTCGTCTTAGCGTTTGTATTTTAATGCCTATTGGGCATAAATGGTCTATCCAATACATGAAGAATTGTCCAATTCGAACCAGCAGTTTCTGAGATTAGCCCGTTCAAATAAATATTAATTATAGATTCCTTACCTCAAAATCGAATCTTGACGGTATCATACAAAGCCCTCTTCTCTACACGGAGAAGATTTCAGCTTAAATCATCACGCTAGCTCAAGGCGGATTGGCGATTTCACACTTTTAATAAGAAATAATAAGTCCAGGTTTCCACACGATGTTTGCCTTCACTGTATGTCAATGGTGTCTAAATAATCATAAAAAGTACATAAAACTCGGAAAAGTCGCATTGGTACTTGCCAGGTTTCGAACGAAGCGGACGCCTTAACCTCCGGGTCACCACGACTACGGGCCTTGACCAGACCCAGTTTATCCTGAACCTCTTTTTCTGTTTTCTGCTACTTATTTACATTTCAGGTTCTGCGAGCAAATATTCCCTGAACTTTCAGGCGTGACAGAACACTGCGAGACACACAAACATGATTTGGAAGATGGGGAGGTCTTTCCATGTCCTTTGTGTAATTATGGTGAGTCCATAGTTTTGCTATTATCAGGAGTTGCGGGTCAAGTTCAATGAGGTACCATGGCCTCGCTGAAGTAGGAGAAGGAAAGGATGCTCCGGCCCCACCCAGAATCTATTTAATGATTTTCCCGTCTCAAAGAAACTTTTAACAGAAGACCTAGTGTGAGTTTGTTTTACTTTAAGACAGTGGACACGTTTCTGGAGTTAAGCACTCTGATTAGTCAGATCCAAATTGAACAAAGTATGAGAGACATGCTTCGGCACGAATGGGTCGACTAGACTGGAGTGATATCACGGCCTTACAGAAATCCGGCGTGAAACAACCACAGCGTTATGTTTCGCCGCGTGAGTGAGGTTACCAGAGACCTTATCCCTTCCCCTGCCTATTTAAGGATTGGTAAGAGATGCCCTTCCCAATCCTTAAATATCCGAAACCCTTATCCCGAAAAGACCGGCAACGCAGTCGTAACTCCTTTGGTGTTACCAGCAGGTAATCAGTCTCCTCGTTTGGTGATCTGTTACATAAAAAAAAACTATAATAATTTTGCAGGGTATGCAAATCTAAAATGGCTGAAGGCCCACGTTATAGCGGCCCACGAAAGATCAGACACAAAGAAAAGTTCAAAAGATGATTCTAAAACCACTTCAAGCGATCTCGATAAAGGTAATATATTATATAACAGAATAAATATATTACATGTAATATATCAGATAACCGATTTAGATAAGGTAATCCAAACTAATATTATAAATGCGAAAGTGACTCTGTCAGTCTGTCTGTCTTTTCTTCACGCCTAAACTACTGAACCTATTTGTGTGAAATTTGGCACAGACATAGTTTGTGACTCATAAAAGGACATAGGATACACAGACAGGCAGCTCCAGCCGGGGTTGCGGGGTAAGCGCATTGAGGCACCGCTACCTCGGCCCAGAGCAGGAGAAAGAACAGGGGGGTTTTTAGTCAGTAAGAGTCTGACGCCCAGGGCCGGGCGGGAGAAGTCATCTGATGATTTACCCCTCACAAAAAAAGGCAGCTCACTGGACCAGAGTTACATTGTCAATGGCCGACACTCTCTCGATCACCTTATTTATATTAGAGGATGACACTGACATTGACATTTCTAGTGTTATAATAATTAGTATTACTAATTAGAGATGATACAACAAAAAGTTAAGAAAAAACAGATCTACCACTTAAAATGTGTAAAAACTAACTAACTTAATTACTAGTTGTCAAATGTTATCATATTTTATGTTTGTATATTATAGCTAACGAGACAGATACTGGAAAACCGACATCGCCTATTGCACTGCGCACGCGCAGCTCAAACAAAAATGATGGTGATGAAATTGGTACGTATATGGCACTGGATAAACATCACACAGATTTTTATTTTTATCTTACTAATGTCATAAATGAGCAAGTACGATGTTTGGATGTTTGTTATTCAATCACGCCAAAACGGCTGGACGGATCTGGATGAAATTTGGCTTAAGTATAGGATACACTCCGGAATAGGACATAGAGTACTTTTTATCAACATACCACGCGGGTGAAGCCACAGGCAGAATCTAGTTTAAAAATATAATTCAATTAAAAAATCTGTTTAAAAAAAGTTTTTAGAAGGTGTAGATCAATAAGTCCCTTAACTAAGCACTTGAGAGACATCTTTGTGGTTTTATAGTAAGTAGTAGTAGTAAGAACATTAACTGTATCTATACTAACATTATAAAGAGGTAAAATTTGTAAGTTTGTATGTAGGGGGTAATCTTTGGAACCGCTGGTCGGATTGCCAAAACTCTTTCACTGATAGATAGCTACAATGTTCCTAAGTGCTATAGGCTAATAAATACCTATTAAACAATATTACTGACTTAATAATACAATTTTATATACTAATTTTAGATAAAGAAAATTCGCAAGAAAAGACTGATTCCAATGCTGAGACGGTTAGTCGAAAATTTTCATTTTATATATAAACTTTCGTGTCGCAATGTTAGTTACCTTAGTCCTCCGAAACGGCTTTATTGATTTTTACCAAATTTTTGTAAGTAGTTCGATAGGTCTGAGAATGGATTAAGAATGGAATAAAAAATGTATACGGCAAAACAACGTTTGCTAGTTGAATATGTTATGGTTTTTAATGGCTTATGTCGGCAAATTAGCAGAGAGGTCACCTGATGGTAAGCAAATAACCACTAATGGACACCCGTAGCAATAGAAGAATTGCAAAAATGTTACCGTCCAGTTAAGGATTTGAGGATTGGAAGAATTAAGGACGGGAGGGTCACTCACACGGCGAAACACAAGCGTTATCGAGTAGCGAGAAAGGCCCTAAGTTATAAGTGAATATAGTTAGCTAGCTTAGAAGTAATTTGTAGATTTATTCGTTTTAGTATGTGAAAGGAAGATTAATTTTATTATTTATACCTGTGGTAGTGAAACCACGGCCTATCAGAAAACCGGCTTGATAAAACCGGTTTTCTGTGTGATTCAGGTTACTGAAAGCCCAATCCTCCTCCTTCCTCTCTTAAGTATTCCCGAAAGCCCCTATCTCTAATACTTTTTAGGTTTTGGGGATATATGGATTGGGAAGGGATGGGTCCGAGATGTATGGGGCCTCCAGTAACGTTACTCATACGGCGAAACACAATAGTGTTGTTTCACGTCGGTTTTGCTATGAGGCTGTGGTATCATTATGGTCAAGCCGGTCCATACGAGCCGAAGCAAGGATCTCCCTTGCTAATTCCAAAGTTAAATAACGTTAATTTAGTAAAAAAACAATATTTTGTAGTTTCTATTAAATTAATATTTCTACCCCATAAAAGGAAACCACCACAAATGCACAACCACCCATCATAAAGACTGAAGTTAAGCAAGAATGTCTGGACAGCAGTGAAGATGAGATCTGGATAGTTCAGACAGCAGACGCTGATGCACAGGATTTGCAGAAACTGTTATGCCCTCCTAAGGTAAGGTGGTTCTAGGGGTTTTGGATAAGAAAACTCAATCTATACATATATGAAGGCAACAGGGGGTTGGTACAAACATCAACATCCCGATCATCGTCTTCACAGTCCATCACAGGGCGTAGGATTTAATAATCAGACTGAATAAATTACAAAAATAACGGGACGTCGGCGATCCGTCTCATATGACAGTCACAGCGCTCGCTCTCCACCATAATGCGCACGCAGAACTGTCAGTTTGACGTTCCGCCAGAGTACGATTCTTTGCACTCACGTCCGATGAATTATGATAAAACCTTCTTGAACATTCAATTAAAATAATCGACGCTCCGTCATATAATTATGTATTTAAAAATAAATGCCACTTTTCGTTTTAATGTTATAACTCAACAATGCCTTTACCGATTTGGTTAATTTTGGTCTTGAATTATTCGTGGAAGTCCAGAGAAGGTTTGTAGAGAATAAATAAAAATTATATTGAAGAAGTGTAAAATCTACATCCACGCAGGTGACTGTTAGATATTTATATTAAAAAACTTTATTTAAATAGCTCTTTAGTGACATTTTTATGGATTTTGAGTACAGTCATATAGCTTAGCAATATAATTATTGACATGCTTGAATGACATGAATTTCAGCTCAATCCGTTGAAGATATCTACTTCAAAATTTTCTTGCAAGATTGCACTTCACAAACACTTTATATAAAAAAATATGATCAACAGAATTTTAACAATCTCTTTTTTGATAGCCAAGAATTAAAAATAGAATATAAAAATATCAGTTATTCCCTGCTAAGATTTTTTCTTATATCGTGGGTGCGTTTAAAAACATACACATGACACCCAGATCCGGAACAAAAATTTGTGGATCACTCACACAGAGTTGTTCCGTCTGAATCGAGCTTGTGACTCGTAGCAAGGCAACCAGTTGTCCAGCCAAAGCCTTGTTGCTGTGCTATTACCCTGATACTCCCGGATGGACCGACGCTCTTTTCGATTAATTAGCGAAGGAACTTAGTTATATTTTATTATAACGTGAGGAAGATAGAGATAGAAATAGAAACAGAGATTGAGAGATAAAGATAGAGAGAGAGAGAGAAACAGAGATGGGGGATTTTGTTACGCGCTCAAAGGAACTTGGTTCCAAATGTATGAATTTTGCATATTTTATTGTTCCAAGTTTTCTTTTTATTTGCCTTACTCTCTCTACATCACCCAAAAGACTTGACTTGTACCAAAAGCATAGAGTACGTCTATGTTATTTAATATTTCTTTGAAATATAATCAATGTCTGGAAATAACTGATCTGTATTCTTTACAGGTGAATGATGATGGACAGGGAACCATTTCAGACAAGTCGCACAAATGTTTTAATTGCAGGTATGTCTAGTATACTCTATCTCACTTCTTACCACTCTTACCTTCTTTCTATCTTATTATTAATATTATAAATGCGAAAGCAACTCTTGTCTGTCTGTCTGTCTGCCTTTTCTTCACGCCTAAACTACTGACCTACGCCGCCGCCGCCTTTTCTTCACGCCTAAACTACTGAACCGAATTCTGTAAAATTTGGTACAGACATAGTTTGGAACTCGAGAAAGGACATAGGATAGTTTTTATACCAAAAATCTCCAGGAAGTCACTATCCCATGCGAATGAAGTCGCATGAAAAACTCAGTTAATATTATAGATGCGTTAAATAAATGTTTGTTAGTCAATCACGCCAAAACGCCAGGGGCCAAATCTTTCCCCTCCCCTGACCCCTCCCCAACCCCTTAATCTCCAAAACCCTAATCCTTAAAAGGTCGGCAACGCACTCGTAACTCTTCCCCTGCGGGTGTCCATGGGCGGCGCTGATTGCTTAACATCAGGTAATCCGTCTGCAAGTTTGCCAACCTATTACATAAAAAAACGACTGGACGGATCTGGATGAAATTTGGCACAGGCATAGGATACAATCCGGAATAGGACATAGGCTACATAGGGCGGGAGCTAGTATGTAATATGTTGGTAGTTGCCATTAGGTCATATTACAATTACAATACTATTTTTTCCGTGGTGTTTTGCCGACTGAGTTTCTCCCAGTTGTACAGTCTCTTCTGTGCCTTTAAGGCTTAAGTCATTCTGTCTCCTGCATTAAATTTACCGAGGGAAGTCGAACCTGTTTAGATTTTTCTTCTCCTCAAATAATATCTTGCCAAAATGTCTTCGAACAGTCTTCGCAGTATTTACTGTAGATCCTGGTTTACAGGAGTTGCAGTGATTTGATTGGTTGTGGTGGGCTTGTCCTTCTAATCTTCTTTTTATCTTCTTAAAGCATCTTGCCAGCGTTAAGTCATTGACTGCCGACAGATTAATCCTCCGCTAGTGTGGTCCATATGTTGCCTCCATGGCGTTCAACGCGGTAAAGGGGACATTAATTGGTTCTGTTAAACTAACTAAGGGATTCGGCCTTCGGTAACCTCACCTACACGGCGAAACACAGCGTTGTCGCTGTTTCACTCTGGTTTTTATGTGTGGTCGTGGTAACACTCTGGTCGAGCCTACCCATTCGGAGCTTGGCTTTCCTACATTTAAAACTTTTTTTCTGTCTATATTTATCATCATCATCGGCCTGTTGTCGTCCACTGCTGGACATAGGCCTCCCCAATTGTACGCCACTGAGCTCGATGTTCAGCTTTTCTCATCCAACCACTGCCAGCCACCCTGCGGATGTCGTCAGTCCATCTAGTTGGAGGGCGCCCTACACTACGTTTGCCTAGACGTGGTCACCACTCTAGAACACGTTTACCCCAGCGGCAAAAATAAAGTCTATATGTATAAAGATATGTAATAGAATTTAGGATAATAATGTTACATTATATTTCTTTTCCTTACACAGTCAAGTATTTGCGAGTGCGGATGGTTTATCAAACCATCGCTGCAGGAGACGAGGTCGTAAGAGGAAGTCCAAGGATCACGTCAACACCATCTGCATACCCACTGAAGAAGACTTCTTGAAGGTAAGTCTTACTACATATTTTTGCACGTTTTATGTGTTTGAAGTTTTTTAGAAGTTCCAACTGAGTGAGTGAGAAATCACCTTAAATTTACTCCTAAAACAATTAACACTCACACGTTTGAATACTTTGGAGGTATTCTAAAAACAACAGAAAACACTATAGCTTTGTGTGCAATCTATAGACCACCATCATCGGATAGGACTTTATTTATAAGGGAACTTCAAAACACACTGAATAACTACGTGTCTAACACCATCCTTATTGTTTTGGGTGATATGAACATCGATCTGAAATCAAATACTTCACACAAAGCCATGTATATCGATATGCTTTCTGCGAATGGCTTAACGTGTGGGATATCGGACTATACTAGAATTGAAAAGCGAAATAATCAAATAACAAAATCATGCATTGACCATATATTCACGCGATCACACACGTTAACACCATGCGCGGGAGCACTCGACACTGTTCTGGCGGACCACCGCGCCACTATTGTATGCCTAACCGGTAGCTTGACCGCTCGACGTGATATACAGGATGTGTCACAGACCAAAATTATTCACGACAAACAAATAATGCATGATGTTTTAAATAACACTAACTGGAATGAAACCAACAACCTAACTACGTCGGACTCAATATATGAGTTTATAATTAAGGCTTTTAATTCTGCATTAAATAAGTCAAAACGTACAATTGTTATAAATAAAAAAAACAGAAAGTCATATCCCTGGTTAAATAATCCATTAATAAAATTGTGTGATCTCAGAGATGAATGTTTTAACCTCTGGAAGAAAGATCCCCATAATAAAATATTAAGATTAAAGTATAATAGATTGAGAAATAAAACGCATAAAACTATTGAATTCTACAGAAATAAATACGATAAAGATCAAATTAAGTCTAATTTTAATAATCCTAAAAAACTTTGGGCATTTCTAAATTCCTTATGTGGTAAAATATCTGTGTCTGTTGATGAATTCATCATGGAAGCTTTTAGAGCACAAAATTTGTCATCTCTTGAATTATCAAACAAGTTTGCCGTTAGTTTTGATAGTGCTGTAAAAAAAATATTACCAGATTGCTCTGTTCCACTTTTTAAAAATTACTCCTGCAAATCTGCTGACGTCAGTCTACGATTTCAGGAAGCCACTCCGAAACAAATACATAAGCTTACAATGTCGCTCAATCATAAGAAAGCACCAGGCCTAGACAATATTAGTGTGACAGATCTACAAGCAGTTAGTGACAAAATTGCATCTTCCATAGCTAGACTCATAAACGTTAGTGTCCACTCTGGCCTATATCCGGATAATCTTAAAATAGGATGTGTTAGACCAGTATTCAAAAAAGGCAAAAGAAACGACGAAAATAACTATCGCCCAATCACGTTATTATCGTCAATAGATAAAATTGTCGAAAAATTTGTTTGTAACCAAATATACTCGTTTTATGGAAAAAATTCTATTATAAATGAATCGCAATATGGGTTTCAGCCAAATAAAAGCACCACTGAATTGCTTTCAAAATTTACAGATCATATTAACACTGCACTCAATGAAAAAAAACACGTTCTAGCACTATTCATTGACTTCTCCCGTGCATTTGACACTCTAAACCACCACAAATTAGTAGAAAAATTAAAAAACAGTGGATTGCGGGGCCCAATGAACGCTTGGTGTGCTGACTACCTAAAAAACAGGAAATATCACGTTAGAATAGATAACAGCTTAAGCGACCCTGTGTGCGTTACCAACGGAACAGCTCAAGGATCCGTATGTGGTCCTTTGCATTTCCTGGCTTATGTAAACGACATGAATACCATATTTCTCAATTCTAAATCGTATCAATTTGCTGACGATACATGTCTCCTTATCGAAGGAAATGACTTGACCCTTATAGGTGCACTTCTACAACAAGACTTTGACAAGCTTAGTATGTGGTGTCATGATCTAGGACTCGTTATGAATGCTAAAAAAACAAAAATTATGCACATAAAATCAGCCTACCTAAAAGATAACACTCAGATCTCCAAGTTAGTAGCACACTCACATAGTTGTCTTCATGAAAATACTCGTGATTGTGATGTCAAATGTTCAGTCATTGAACAGGTTGATACTCACATGTACTTGGGATTACTTATTGATAGTAAGTTTAACTGGCGCCCCCATATTGAGCGAGTATGTGATAAGTTACGCGCAATTCTTTCAAAATTTTATATCATTAAAAACCGCCTGCCTTATAAAACTAGGCTCATGTTGTATAATGCACTATTTGATTCAATCATATCATACGGGTTATCTAGCTATGGACGTACTTTTAAAACCTACCTGGATTTGATTTTTGCACTACAACTCAGGACATTAAAGTTATTAACTTTACCTAAAGTCAAATCTACCATAATACATGACCTTGATTACTTCAAGCACTGCAGGACATTACCTGTACATGATAAGTTCAAGTTTAACATCTTAAAAGAACAATTTTTCAATGAGTCAATAAAGTTCGAAAAATGTCATCCTGTATACACGCGGAGCGTAGCACAAAAAAAACTTGTCACCATATCTGCAAAAAATTTCTACGGCACAAGAACGAGTGCATATCTAATACCTCGATTATTAAATTCTTTACCAACTGATATACGTAATGCTATAAACAAAAATAACATAAAATATAAATTAAGAACACATTTCTTCGCAAATATGTAACAGAACACTACGGAGTACATTTTAGGTACACAATGCGGAGTATTTTCTAAGTACCCACTACTTGGAAAGTATTTGGCAGTGTGTTGATTGATTGATTGTTTTGTTATAAAGTTGTTTAATGTTAAGTTTATGTATAATTATTGTGTGAGACGAATAGAATAGTATAATAGTATCACACACAAACCCGAGAGGTTTAAGTGATGCTGAACCAGTTAAAACCTGTTAATATTGTTTTTGATAATTTAATATAATAATAATAATAAAATATAAATAATATAACTGACTTCTAGTTTCCCGTAAGAAATAACTTTTTTGGCGATACACAAATTGTTTACAAACGCACCGCTACATCGCCAAATTGACAAAAAACGCATCGTCATCATAATTTTTCACAAGGACATCTTCTAATCTTTGATTTTCATACTTACGTACTTAATATTAACCTGCTAATACTACTTATATAACTTAACATATATTATACTAATATATTACCTATATCATCATCATCATTCCCCCTCCCGGACGTCGACGCGAGTAGACGTGTTTCAAATAGCTCCGTGTTTAAAATTAAGAAAATAATGTTTACACTGATTTAAAGTGGATTCTGACTATGTAATAGGGTTAAGAAACCAGTGATAAATGCTGAGTGATAAACTAATAGAATAATAATGTAACATAGTGACGTAAAAGTGGATTAAAATTGAATTGTAAATCGTCAAGTTGTGAAAGTGTAATTAAAATTGTTCAAACAGTTATCCTAAATAAATAATGCTTAAATTGTGGTGTACACTGTAAATACTACATAAAAAAGTGATAAACCGCTTAACTATGTGAAAAAAAAAACTTAAAAGTGATAAAAAACAGTGATTGTAAACACAAAGGAAATTCAAAATTAAACCGTTGAGACCTGACACAAGTGTATTAATAGCTGCTAGTGGCTTTATATTTCATCTGACTTTCTAATGTTTGCAAGGCAGAGTGGCAACTGCATACGCTTTAAGTGACGAGCGCGCTGCGTTCGAGCCCCGCTATATGCATTTGGCTTTTTGAAGGTTTTTGTGTTTGCATGTTTCACTAATATAGTATTAAATTAATAGTTTAAAATACAAAAATGAATTTCTTCGAAAATATCACATTACGCCGAACTCGTACAAAATCATTGACAGAGAAGACAGGGAATGACATGAGTTATAGCGATGCAAAACTAGATGGCACCACTAGTAGCATGCCGGACATATCGGATGACGAGGACAGCGATAAAATACAAGATCTCCAGCGGGAAGTGGAAGAACTAAAACTACAACTCGCGGCAGCCCATAACGAAATAAACAACTTATCAATGGAAAATACCGAGTTAAAGCAGACCATCCACACCTTAAATAATAAATATCAACTGGTGAAGGGAGCAACAAAAAAACTGTCAAGTGAAATTGGAACGCCTAGAAAGAATGTTAGATTACCGACTCCTAACAAGGAACACCGATCTGCAACTCACCTGGAAACATTGCGACATAGTAAAAAACGACCGATAAGTAATAAAGTGAAAACGACATTACATTTTGATAAAAAAGTGTAGAAACAAAAAGTTCACAGGAACACAAAGAGGGCTCGTCTACACACAAAGTTGAAAGAAACAAATTGTGTATTATTAGTAGTAATAAAACTAACAAAGTCTTACCAATAGCTCAAGCCACCTTTCCCAACCAGCAGATATGTCATTATATCACAACTAACTGTGGAATTACTACTCTTGTAAATAACTTGGACTCAAAATTGAATAATTATACAATGAAAGACTACTGTGTAATCTTTATAGGAAGTGAGGATTTCGAAACAACGAATAATTATTCAGAAATAATCTCGAATATCAGGGAAAAACTGTTAATGTTATCACACACCAATATAATTTTATGTTTACCCACTTATAGATGCAATAATTACTCCAATATGTTCAACTGGAGAATCGAAATGTTTAATAGTTTGTTATATCATGACATACAGATTTATAATTATGCAGTAATATTTGACTCTAATTTAAACTTGTCATACGATTATACAATGTTCTCATATAAAAATGGTCAATTAAATAATTATGGAATGAGAAATATTTTTGACAATTTGAAGCATCAGCTTCTAGATTCTGACATTTCATACAATGTATTTACTGAAACTGAAACGCCTCATTCCTGCTCTAAAACCGATACTAGTGACCTGTTTTTTCTCGAATAAATATCTAAATATATTACATCAAAATATTGCTGGTTTGTTAAGAAAATGCGATGTTCTCACTGTTTGTTTAGACCAATTACTTTCAGAAAAAAATCTATCTGTGGATGTAATCTGTATTACTGAGCATTTTGTTATGAAAGGTTTTGAGGACCAATTGTATCTAGCAAATTATTGCTTAGCTGCGTATTATGGGAGAAATGACATAAAAAGGGGTGGAGCATGTATCCTTGTCAAAAAGGGGTATCAATGGAAGGAACTGCCTGGAATTGCTAAGATGTCATTGTCAGGCGTTCTTGAATGTTGTGCAATTGAACTTACTCAATATAAGGTAATAATTGTTTGTGTATACAGAGTGCCGAATGTTAGTAACTTTCAAGATTGCCTAGATAAGTTAGAAACTATACTTTTAGAGATCTCTAAATCACAAAAGAAAATTGTAATTGCAGGTGATTTTAATATTGACATGCTTAAATCTAATAACCAATCAACCTTATTTGAATGTTTGCTTCTAAATTTTAACTTGAGATTGGCAATAAAACAACCGACTCGTGGCTAGCATGACATGCATAGACAACTTTGCACACAATTTCAATAAGTCAAGTAAGGCAGCTGTATTTGATTTTGCGTTGTCTGATCACACTGCTCAGCTCTTACAATGTCCAGTCTATAAAGTCTTTGCGGGAAAATGTTGGTATATTACTCGGCGAGATTATGACAAAGAAAATATTAACAAGTTTAAGGAATGTTTGAGTAATATATCCTTTTCAGAAATTTATGACATGACTGACCCAAATGAAGCTTACAATGCTTTTATTGACACTTTTAAATTAATGTATGACTTATGTTTCCCAACTATAATAAATAAACAAAGTACTGCTAAAACACCTAAATGGCTTTCTCGTGGTGTTAAACTATGTAGTAGGAAGAAAAGATCTCTTTTATGGCAACTCAGACTAAACCCCAATCAAGTAAATAAATTGACTTATCTGAACTACTCCAAATTGTATAAGAAAATTATTAATCTCACACAACAGGCTCAAAATAATTACAAGATACACCAATCAGATAATAAATCTAAAACTACTTGGCAAATCATAAACCAAACAAAACATAATATCCCTAAACAATACATATATTCCATTAAGGTTGATGACCAAACTACAATCACTAATCCGATAGATATTTCTAATGCTTTTAATAATTATTTTATTGATAAAATTCAACCTAATCTCAATATTTTTAACAAACCAAAACCACACGGTATATGTATCCAACAAAATTCGATGTTCCTTGCTCCAAGTGTACCGTGTGATATACTAAAAATTATTAATTCACTGAAGAACACAAACAGTGTAGGTTACGACGGTATCTCAACAAAGATACTTAAAATAGTAGCCCCTAACATATGTAGGCACCTTAGTCATATTTTAAATCTTAGCATTTGCGCCGGTATTTATCCAGATGCATTAAAAATTTCCATAATAAAGCCACTATTTAAAAAGGAAAACAGGGAACTCATGGAATTCTATAGGCCTATTGCACTTATTCCGATTATATCGAAAATATTTGAAAAGTACATATATAAAGAGACTTATAAATACTTAGAAAAAAACAAGTTATTGTGCTACGAACAGAAAGGATTTAGACAAGGTAAATCAATAAACATGGCTATATATGATTTTATAAAAGGGGTTATTACAAAAGTAGATGAACGTAAACCAGTCTGTGCCATATACTGTGACATGACCCAAGCTTTCGACTATGTACACTTTAATACTCTCTTGGACAAACTTGAAGCCTATGGAATCAGAGGTAACGTTCTTAAACTAATAGAATCTTATTTACGTAATAGGAAACAAAAGACGGAAATCCAAAGAATAAATAGCAGCTATCACGAAAAAACTTTTCATTCATCAGAACGTGAAGTTAGATATGGGGTACCACAAGGCAGCGTTCTGGGGCCATTACTCTTTATATTATATATAAATGACCTCCCGAAACACATTCAGCAACCCTTGACTTTGTTTGCCGATGATTGTACCATAACTGTACCGTGTAATGATCCAAAATTATATGAAAACGAAATTAATGATTCTCTAGCTTCATTTATAACATGGCTAAATGACAATAACCTAAAAATTAACATCACAAAAACAAAAGTTATGCATTTTAGACAACGTATCCGTAGTAAAGATATTGCCGTTAGTTATAATAACCAAACAGTTGACAAAGTAGCAAGTACCATGTTTTTAGGTTTAGAAATTGACGAACATCTAAACTGGAAATCACATGTAGTCAAGGTTTGTAAGAGGCTAAGTAAATCTGCATATGCCTTACATACACTGTCACATAAGGTTTCGAAGGAAGCGCTTCTAACTGCTTACTACGGTATAGCTGAACCACATCTTCGTTATGGGGTTATATTCTGGGGCAACTCCACAGATAAAGATGTTGCATTTAAAGCTCAGAAAAGGTGTATTCGCTCAATGTATAAACTTGACACTACAGAGAGTTGTTTACCATATTTTAAGAGGTATAAAATCTTAACATTACCATGCATCTATATAATGGAAATGGCTATGTTTGTCAAGTCAAATCCAGAATATTTTAAGAAACTGAACGATGTTGTTGCGCGAAATAGACGAGACAATAGTCGATTATGTCTTCAAACAGCGAAGACAACGCTTATTAGCAAAAGTGTCTGCTGCATGGCACCTAAAATATTTAATAAAATACCTAAGACTTGGAGGGATTTGAGTATGTCATTATTAAAAAACAAACTAAGAAAACTTTTAGTAGACAAAGCATATTATAATGTAGCAGATTTTTTAATGGAGAATCAACTAGATAATTAATTTTTAATTGCATTTAAGGACATATCAACTATTATTTCTTTGACATTTTAACATTTGACATTGTTTAAGTAATTACTGTTTTGACTTTTGTTTATGGACTGTAACTATTCAATTTGTAAAGCAGTAAGTTTAAGTTTTAGGATGACATGTTTATAATTTGTAACATTTTAAATTAATTTTTGCATGCCTACTGGTAAAATATGGCTGAGCTCGCATTGTACCTAACCTAACACCACAAATATTATTGTACTACCCATATTTGCAAAATAAACTATCTCTCTTATCTCTTATCTCTTATACTACACACATATACATATATAATACTAATATATACTAATATATTAATTTTATTATTATTGTAAACTTAACTTAATAGAACCTATAGTAAGTCAATAGTTTAGAAATCTGATCCAACAGACAAACTGTGTATACAGTTTTGTTGAACATTTTATACTTTTTATAATGTAAAATGTACCTTCTATGCAATAACAAATAAATAAATAAATAATAAATAGACAGAATACCGGGTCCTACAAAAGTTTGTAGTACTTGAGTGTATTAATAATTCATCATCAGCCTATAAGTGCCCACTGCTGAGCAAAGGCCTCTTCTCACACGGAGAAGGTTAGAGCATTAATCAGCTCGCTTGCTCAATGCGGGTTGGTGATTTCAAACTTATAATTAGAAATAATAAGTCCAGGTTTCCTTACGATGTTTGCCTTCACCGTAGGTCAGTGGTGTCTAAATAATCATAGAAAGTACTTATAACTCGGAAAAAGTAACATTGGTACTTGCTAGGTTTCGAACCCACATCCTCATGCATGAGAAGCGGGCTCCTTAACCTCCGGGCCACCACGACACGTGTGAGTGAGGTTACCGGTGGCCTTAATCCTTGCCCTCCTTCAATCTCTCCCCAATATCGAAATCTCCAATCCCCTAGCCCCCAAAAGGTCAGCAATGCCCTCATAACTCCTCTGTTGTTGCAACCGCAACAACAGAGAGCAAATTGTGCTCCTCTGTTGTTGCAACAACAGAGGAGTTATCTATGTGCGGCGCTGATTGCTTACCATCAGGTAATCCGCTTGCGCGTTTGCCGACTTATACCAATAAAAAAAAATTCAAGTTCAATTTTGATTGTGTCTGTTTACAGAGAGCGCAAGGACGTCCCAGGCAAAATGATACGGGGATTGATAGTGATCTTATTGTCATGGTAAGTAATGTGATATTGCCGGGGTTGCGGGGTAAGCGCATTGAGGCACCGCGACCTCGGCCCAGAGCAGGAGAAGGAACAGGGGGGTTTTTAGTCAGTAAGAGTCTGACACTCTTTCGCCTTACCCAGGGCGGGAGAAGTCATTGGATGATTTTCCTCTGACAAAAAAAAAGTAATGTGGTATTCATTTTATAACCAGAACCGGTAAAGAGTGGATTTTTTTTTCAACGGTATCTATACTACATAATATTATAAAGAGGTAAAATTTGTAATTTTGTATGTAAGGGGTAATCTTTGGAATCGCTGGTCGGATTGCTAAAATTATTTTACTGATAGATAGCTACAATGTTCCTGAGTGCTATAGGCTATAAAACATCACGCTACGATCAAATGAAGCCGAGCAGCGAGTGAAACCGCGTGAGAGTAGCTAGTATCTTATAAGGGTATAACCTAGGTGTCTTCAAGGCCCGAGTGAATAGGTTGCTTGTGGGTGGGCGTGCTCCATCGTAGGTCGCATCATCGTTAAACACCAGGCGTGATAGCGGTCAAAGAAATTTTGACCGACATTCGTCAAAAGTGCGTTTAACTGCAAAAAAAATAGTAAGTATTGCAAAACATGTTTTTAATTTAGGGCTCAAAAGTGTAGTATTGACTGGTTATAAGTTTGCCTGTAACATAATTTTATTTTTTTCTTAATCGCAGCGTCCAAGAAAACGTCGCAGTCGGGAACTGACTTCCAACCCTCAAGTTGTAACCTGTCACAATTGTAATGAGTCATTCACGTCGAAAGTTAGACTGAAGTTTCATATGTAAGTATATTTTGTATTAAAATATCAAGTTTTTAATGGAAAATGCTGTTCAGTTTGATGTAGTGGTACCTACTAGACGTGTAGAGTTTCTTGCTCGTCCTTCTCCATTCGAATTTACACTTTGGGAAATGCGCCTAGCTTCACTGACGAACAGACTGACAGACGACTATTCTATTTTGACTTTTCAAAATCTATTAATGGTTGTTTTTTTTTTCTGAGGGGAAAATCATCAAATGATTTCTTCTGCCCAGCGCCGGGCGGGAGGGAGTTTCAGACTCTTACTGACTAAAAACCCCACGTTCTTTCTCCTGCTCTGGGCCGAGGTCGCGGTGCCTCATTCCGCTTACCCCGCAACCCCATCTATTAATGGTTGTGGACTTCCTACTTTTAGTCTTGGTCTCCCAAGGCAAAAAAAAAACATGAATGAAAAGCACTTTTTTGTTTTTCATATGAATCTACTTGTTCAACTTGCAAAATCTTCGTCGTTTTTTTTCAAGAAATAACGACTTGAATGAACTGAAGCTCTACTAGTTTCAAGTCATAACGGGACCCTTATTCATGAGCATAGTGCACGTCGTGGCTACGTTGCACAACCTGCTATTTCAGCCGAAATTTTGTATCGTATATATCGTATATATACACACTCGTTTTTCAGACATTTACTTCCCTTATTCCCGTTATACTCTTCTTAAACCTTTCAGCTACAAAAACTCATTTAATAATAATAATAAACACATATATTCACATCTTTCAGACCTTTGACCTCTTTTAACTCCCCTTTTCGCCCATTAAATCCCCCTCCAACCCTCTCCCAGGCAATTCCACGACAGTAGTCACCCGGTCCGCTCGGATGGGCGCTACCTGTGTTCGGAGTGTGAGGGCGCCACCTTCGCCACGGAGACAGAACTCTTCGACCACGTGCACTTCCAACATGATAAGCAGAAACGGTGGCAGTGCCCCGTCGAGGGTTGCGGGAAGACCTTCTTTCTCAGGTATGTGTAGCTTGGCATGCGTCGGCAAACGAGCAGACGGATTACCTGATGGTAAGCAATTAGCGCTGCCCATGGACAGCCAACTACAGAGGAGTTGACGAGTCCTTTGCTGGCCTTTTTGGGGATTAGGGTTTTGGAGATTTCGGGATTGGAGGAGGGGAAGGATTGGACCTCGCAGAAAACTGGAGTAAAACAACCACAGCTTTGTGTTCCGCCGTGTAAGTAAGGTTTACGGAGGCCCAATCCCTTTCCCTCCTCCAACCTTTCCCAATCCTTAAATATCCAAAACTCTGATCCCCAAAAGGCCGGCAACGCACTCGTAACTCCTTTGGTAGTGCGGGTGTCCATAGGCAACGCCGATTGCTTACCATCAGATAATCCGTCTGCTGGTTTGCTTACTGACTTATCCCATAAAAAAAAAACTTATTTATTATAGCTTGAAAATTTGCTAGAAAAATGCAAAAACTAAGCGTAATAATGTTTTTTGTATTGAATAATTTTAAAGTATATTTTCGATTTAGTCAGAACCAATTTGAACTTTTTGTCTTTAGGGCAACCCTAACTAAGCACAGTCGTACACACACAGACACGCGACGTTACGTGTGTGTGACGTGTAACAAGCGGTTCCTGGACAAGCAGACGCTGGACGAACATGGAGTCACACATTTACAGGTTTGCTTCTGAAATCAATTTTTATTTTATTTATTTATTTAATTATTTATGCACATCACACATACAGTAAATAGAGAACAAATACAGAGACAGAGGTACATAGGTACTGCATATTCCTATATGGAATCTCTTCCTGCAGTCCTTCGAAAGGAAAAATGTAAGAGACATAAGACACTGTGAGACCTTTATTTAACACATTCAGTGCCCCCGACGCGTATGTGCGTTTCCTCGCACGCACATACGCGTCGGGGGCACTGAATGTGTTAATGTTTCCAAATACCAACTTCTACTTACGTGAGATATATTTATTTATTTATTTATTTATGCACAAAACAAATGTACAAAGGTGGGCTTAATGCCATGGGCATTCTCTGACAGCCAAACCTTTGGATGATGCAGAGATAAATATAAAGGTGCACAAAACAAGCATCATCAGAGACGTTATAAATACATATTATATACTGTAAATATACATACATATACTTATATATATATATATATATACATATATTCTATATATAATATATACAGCAATAATATAATGACCTATACTACTTAAAATTATACATATAGGTATAGATATATTAATAGTACATTACGGTTCGAGTGTGTAATGTTGGTGAGAGCTGAGGACGGTAATCATCAATACACACGTGTATCATACGAGGTTCTTCAACACACTTCTGAATAAAATATTTTTTCGTAATGTCGGGAAAAATTTATCAGATTTCGGCGGCCGCGGCCGGACGTTTTTTTTTTTTTTTGAGAAGTCAAATGACTTCTCCCGTCTAGGGTGAGAGCGTCAAACTCTTACTGGCTAAAATCACCCCGTTCCTTTTTCTGCGTTCGTCCGAGGCCGCGGTGGCTCATTGCATTTACCCCTTCGGTCCTTTGAGGCGCGCGCGGAACGCTACGCGCCGTACTCTCAGGTTTGGTTCTGGTCGGGCGGTGAGTTGCCCTTTCTCGCCGTCCGCAGACCCGCGCTCTAGGTGGTCGGAAATCGTCCCTCGGCTGCGGCCCAGGCCTGGAGTGGAACGGGGTCGTTTTAGTTAACAAAAGTCTTGATGCTGCCTTCCGCCACACCCATTGCGAGAGAATTCAATGGAAGATTTTCTCGGCAAAATGGTCTAACTCTAGCGGACTCTCTATTGGCGTCATCTTGGATTGTAACGGACTGTTCCCATTACAACTGATTTTCTTTTAAGGAATTTTTAACCGACTTCAAAAAAAGGAGGAGGTTCTCAATTCGATTGTATGTTTTTTTTTTTTTTTTTAATGTTTGTTACCTCAGAACTCCGTTGTTTCTAGACGGAATTGCAAAATTTTTTTATGCTTGAAAGGATATGTTTCCAGATTGGTCCCATTCTTTTCAAAATCGAGTTTTGATGATGGGATCCATGAGAAATCGAGGGAACTCCTCAAATATTATAGGCAACTATATAGTAATTTTAATATTTTCATGGAGCACTCAAGCATTTACAGTCAAAAAGTAATATTTGATGAGGTGGAACTGGTAAAGAAGATCAGAAATGGGTGACGAAACTTGACACTCGCATAGATATCACAATCAAGGTAGTTAAGCAACTATGAACATGCACTATAAACCAATGATCTTAAATGATTATGTTGAAAATGTTATCATCCAACTGATGTAATGATGATAATGGAGCTGGAAGGTAGGCACTGGAACTGCGTACCTAATGAATGTATCCTAGCCGTGTTTGGGCTTGTTAGAATTGTTATAAGATGCACTTTGGCTGTAAGGTACTATTGAACTGATGTGATGATGAAGGTGGAAGGTTGACATGGGAACTTCAAAATAAAATAATGTATCCTAGTATTGTTTAAGCTTATTAGAGCTGTCAAGAGCAATGGACAGGGCTACGCTCGGAGTTTCCTTGCGTGTTTGAATCAGAAATGAAGAACCAGAGTCAGCGACATAGCCAGAAGAATTGCCAAACTTAAGTGGCACATCGATCGTAGAACAGATGGCCGATGGGGCCGAAAGGTTCTAGAGCGGCGACCCGCACACCTTTGGGGGCGGAGTTTGGCCTAGTATTAGCTATTTTGCATCAGTCCACGTGGACTGCGTTTACACATAAGTGGTGAAATGAGTCATGGTGTTCTTAACGTTTCTCCTGGTAATACTAAGAGAATTCATTGGCATTTTTAACAAAACAGTCATTTTAAACGGGTTACAAAACAATAATTGCGTCTCTTTTGTGTGCACGTATGTAAATAATACTTAAAAAAGGTTCATACATTGAATGAGTCATAAATTTACAATAGCGGTGGTCTTTTGTATTTTTACCAACTTGTCTATATATGAATGTTCTGTGTAATAACAAAATAGGTTTTTTCATTTAATGGATTACAATAATTGATACAAAACAATAATTGCATCGGTCTTTTTTCTATGCACGAATGTATTTAATCATACTAAAATAAATTGCATAGCGTTGGTATCATTGAACTTTATCTGTCTGTTGATGAAAATATCTAGTTTTTTGTTATTTTGCGAGAACTAATTTGAATTTATGAAAAGATTACTTTTTAATTTTAACTATAAGAATCATAAGTATTTCATGCATCATATCATCTCTCCTCGAGATCAAACGATTACACTGTAAGAATGTACCGATGATATGTATTCCTACTTATATGACATTGACATTGGTAATTTTGCAAAAGAAATGTAGGAACGATATTGACTTCGTTGCCATAGCACATTATAATAAAAAAACACTAAACGGCAAGAAATAAAAAAAAAAATACAAACAAAAAACCGCCTTCAAAATTTTGAATATCTGCAAATGTTTATGTCAAATAAGTTTAGCCTATAAATTAAGTTTCTTTACAGCATTTCAAATTTTTATTTTTAACTTTTTAGTGTAGGAACTTTTATCGCTTGACTTTTTTTGAAGGCGGTTTTTTGTTTGTAAAATTTTTTTTTTTTTTTTGTGAAATCTCTTTTTTAATTGTTTTTATGTTTGAACCTTTGGCTTTGATCACTTGAAACTTCGGGAACAGTAAACACAGGACGTTATTGATTTTTTTCGTTCCCCCCTCCCCCTAGATAAAGCCGTTCCAGTGCCACATCTGCCTGAAGCAGCTGACGCGGCGCTCGCGGCTGCGCATGCACGTGCGCGCGCACGAGGAGGAGCTCGCGCCGCGGCTCGTGCGCGTCTGTGCGCTCTGTGCGCGCGCATTCCGGGACCTCGCCACTGCACAGGTACGTGCGCTCTGTGCGCGCGCATTCCGGGACCTCGCCACTGCACAGGTACGTGCGCGTCTGTGCGCTCTGTGCGCGCGCATTCCGGGACCTCGCCACTGCAC